GTGCTCATTCTTCTGAGAGTATGTAAGGACCAGGCTCACAACTGTGGTATTTATGGGCATTCAGAACTCACCCAAGAGACATTATATCATTCTGTTTAGGGGCTGGTGTCTCTACATGTTGTGCATGCATAGGAAGGGAGAGAGCAAGGACAACTAGCTGCTATATGAAATCTGGATCTAGGTTGCGCCTTCATTTCAAGTTGATGTATTAAAGTGGTTTTCTTGCAAGACAGCAATTGAAACAAGCATTTTTGTCTTTGACTTCAGAATGCTTAGGAGAGCACTTGAGCATTGTGTATGGAGTAAACAATATATAATAAAGTCTTTGGCATTGTTTGCCTACTCCTGGGTTGAGAACCTAGTGTGTGCACACAAATCTGCAAAAAAGAAATCCAAATGTGTTTTTGTGGCTTTTCCCCTTGACTTCTGGATAATCGGGGCCCTTGTATATTTTCTTCCTTTGTAATACCCCAAGATGTAGCTCCCTTTGGGAGTTCCCTAATCTGTATATCAGTGGCAATCCTATAATCCCATATAATTGTATTAGTCTCAATAGCAGATTAGCTCCAAGTGCCCCTTCAGACAAGGAGATGTCAGCTCTGCTATTGTTTCCCACTTAATGTGATTCCAGACAGCAAAGAAGAAAAGCAGCTGAGAGCCCTCTGTCTCACATTACAGCCCACAGCTTCTAAACCAATTAAGAAAAAGGGATTTACAGTCAACTGGATTAAGGGCTCTGTTTATATTATCCCATATTTCTTTTTATAATACCTTCCATTTTCTATCTAGCCTTGTAATCAACTACCCTTTTCTCTGCCTTTTGAAACACCCATCCGTGTCCTTACCTATTCATTTACCAATCCATCTCACGTGTGGGATTTCAGCCATCTGTCTGGTTAACTTCACCAGCCCGCTTTAGTGCACATTTGTTTAGAGAACACATGGTGTATGAAGCATACCAAGTAATGCTGAGATTAAAACCAATGCCTGATTTCAGATCAGTTTCAAGATGACCTCACTAATGTAAGTACATTTGTGACACAGTATTTGGGCAAGTCTCTCCTTTCTGCTAAGTAAAACATTCTACCACGGTCCTTATCAGAGGCAAACAAAGCATCATGGTTAAACATTATTCAGCAGGAGAATGGTACCTATAAAATCCTGCAAGACTTATAGAGGAAGAGGCAAAATGAAACTCCAGCAGGATAATGTTAATAAGATGAAAGATCATCAGTGTGGTCCTTGATCTGGTCAACTGAGCAGCAGATCAAGGACAGAAACTGCTCTCACAAAGGTGTCTGTTCTGCTGTGACAAGTGGTAAAAGCTGCTGGAGGATGTGGGCTAAAACACCACTTCACCTGAGAACAGACAGCAGCAATCAGGACCCAGGGATTCAGCCGCCACTATGGTTTCTGCTGTTAGAAATACATACAAAAAGTCCTACATCACCTAAAACATTAATTGTTTCCTTCTACTTGATCAAAATAAATCAGTAAAATAAAGTTAGCACAATCAATATAGCCCAAAGTATCTATTATCCAGGAGGGACAATACCTTGCATTCCCTTGAATTCCTAATTCAGCATGAATTTACATTAATGGGCATTAACATGTTCAGATGACTCTGATTTTATGTGCTTTTCTAAATGGAAGTTGCCCAGTGAATATGTTTCTTAATGATTTGTTCTTACAACAAAATTAGTTTGGGGCTGCCTTTCTTCTAAATGGAAATTCTTCTCCTATTGAATACCATTTCTCAAAAATACCTTTTCCCAATCAGCTTAATATTTAAACAGGTTTAAATTTTAAATCTCACTGTACAAATCTACTTAGATTTTCAAATTACAGTAATACTTCACAAGGTTTCATTTTTAAGGCAATGTAATATGTATAATTCATTCCATGAATCTTAGATAAGGTTGATATTATGCTACAGTGCAATTTGCTGCCTTGCAGTGAAGCTTTACAGCTAAGGTGAGTTCTTCCACTTCAGGCTGTAGCTTTATTACAAGGGGCTTTAAAAGAAATAAAGATGAAAAATGAGAAATGAAGTGTTCCAGTAGCTGGAGAGCTCCATAACCAATGGCTCTTTTACCCCTTGTGCATGTCTGTGGAGTGCTCGTGGCAAAATACTTCTCCACCTCGCAGTTTCCTTGAGGCAAAGAGAATCTTTCATTGAATGATTTCCCTTCATTACACCTTTGAACCAGATATGTTCAGAGGAAAGCTCAGGGAAAAGGATAAACAACTGAGACTGGAAGGATTGATGATGATTGATGATGTCCAAAAGAATAAAGAGAATATGCAGAAGTTTTTAGAAGCCATGGTTACTTTTCAGAACTTCAGTCATCAGGTCCCAAGTGTAATGCATTTAAAGATGGTTCTATCTCTCTCTCTCTCTCATTTTTATTTTTTTTTGTTTTTTTCAGTTTAGTATTTCTTGTTCCTAAAGTCACCAACCAAAACCAGTAAGAAAAAGACAGAAGTGCCTGAGTTTCAAATAAGCCAATGAGCTCAGTACATACAGGCACCCCAGCTATTATAACAATGTGTGCTCCAGGCCTTCTCTGCTGCTGAAATACTGACCTCAGTGAGTAGCACTACAAGGTTTGCTAAAGTTTCCCAGTATTCCAAGAACAACAACTTCTTGCAACTCCCTTTCAGTCAGCAAGCAGAATTACTCAAGACGGGCACCTAAAAATGGATATACCCCAAATAACAAATTAATTCTGACCCTGGACCAGCTGGGTGCTGCTTGTATGACAGCAGTTGTTTCATGAGCCAGATGGCAAATGAACCTTATACTGTTACATGAGGATGGAAAATCATTCAGAATCCAGATGGACCTGGATTGCCAGTTTGACAGTCTTAATGCAGGCCACTTAGCACCTATTTTCCAACAGTGGCACAATTCTCTCCAGTGCTCAGAAAGGCTTTTGAAGCAGTATGTGTGTACATTCTGGGCTGGCCTAAGGATGTAAGAAGGCATTAGCATTAAGGTGAACAGGTGCCAACACTTCAGCATTACTCAGGTTGTCAGGCCTTGGTTCTGGCCTGCCCTAGCAGAGCTGCTTTAATCAGCACTGTTGCAAGCTACATTTTTGCTCATAAACATTCACAAGATTTATTAGAGTAGGCACAAGTTGTAAGCATAGCTTCTGAAGCTTTCAGGCAACAGCAATCTGGAAAAATTGATGTTTACACAGAAATCCTGCACCGTTCATAATTTGAAGATGCTGCTGCCATGGTATATTTCTGTCAGCTTGCCCAGAATCAAATCTCTTAGTGATAACCAAGGGATAGAAACATCCAACTCATCATGGGGAGATGGAATCAACTGAATACAGAAATACTTGGTTGACAAAGAAAGGAGGGGCATTGGAGGCATTATTAAAGAGATCTTCTGTATTCACTTTCAAAGGTATTTCCTCTCTCTATATATTGTTCTTTCTTTTTCTAAGGAAGGCCAGATGAAAATTTCGAGAATTTTGTAGCTTCTTTTTGGAAGATTCTAGTTTTACCTTGTTTTTCTTGGTTTTATATAGGGGAAAATTGTGGTATGGTGACATTAAAACAGGCATGGCCAGCATCTTAAAACCAGTGAAGCAATATTTAATACAAATTTACAAGGGACATATACATGATTGTTAAAATCTGCTTTGCTTTTTTGTACAATGAAAGCCTGAAAGACTGTAAAGATTTTTAAGAATTAGCTAATTTCAACCTGCTTTTTACTTTAGGAATATCAGGACTGGCAGCTCTTCTCCACTGTAATTTTGTAAGAAGCCTTGCAAGATGTTTAACATTGCATCTGTACTGAGTCTTTAGTAGTAAAACTCAAGTGTTTTTATGAGAAAAAACAAATTGCAATGAGTTTTAAACGAGCTGAGGAGAAACCTTGTCCCTTCTGACTGTTCTACTTCTGGCCTTATGGGTTTTATATTGTGATGATTTTGGTAACCAGTAACTGTATAATTTTCCTGGGATGAAAGTAGCTGAAATTTTCACATATGAAAAAGCTTGGAGGTAGGGATAATTCTTAAAGAAAGCAACCATTTTTTTCAGGCATTTCTACTACATCGTAAGAAACAACACGAAGCCACATCACTGTGCATTTTGTCTGATGCCATTAGCCTAATGACACAACAGAGAGAGCTCCTTGATAAATCAATTGTTTATTTGGCTGAGAGCTGCCCTCTGCACAGTCTTTCTGAGACTCACCTTTTAACCATCTTCTCTCAACAAAAAAAAGGAGGATTGATATGACTTACATTGCAAACATCACAAGACAACAATTTAAATATCTTTACATGCAATAAATATGTAGGAGGCCTTCGTCTATTACTTTTTTCCCCCTCACAGCATCCCTGATTGCAGTTCCTTTCTGAAGAAGCCTACTAATTATTAGATCCTGTTGGCAAAGCACTGGGTTAAATGTATCCAAAAGGCTTTTGGGCAAGGGAGGGTTTTTTGCTGAGAAATAATCTACTATAGTGGTAATATCTGCATAATGAATTAATAAAGTGAACCTGGAATGCAAACACAACACTTATTTTCTAGTACCCACAGTGTGAAAAAGTCAGTCATGAGAAATACATTCTCAGTTCAATTTCTGTATTGAGTAATGTTGTCAATACACTGATACCTACTTCATAATGTTCCCTCTTGCATTTACTGTGGGTGTTCTCCTGAGTGCAAAGTTTTTCCTGGCTGCATTCAAACTTTTCAAACATATATATAAATTTTATATTTTAGATCTAATAGTTACTATAAAATCTGTAGGTAATAAAAGTCAGGCAACCATAAAAGCAGGTTTTTCACCTTGATTGTGATGAAGATACAGCTCGCCTTTATGATTAATCTTTTATAGGTTGTAAAGCATACAGATTATATGGCATGTGAACCCACAGCAAATACCACATAGGAGCAATCTAATATGTATCACCAGAAACAATTTAGCAGTGAATTGTTTCCTGTTAACTAACACCACAAATGCCTACCTTATATGTAAGTCCTGCTGGATATTTCAGGGCACACTGTTGAGTTATCTGGAGACATGGACTGGATTTGGGAAATAAAGGAATGTGAAAGAAAAACAGTGTCAGGTAATTACAATCTGAAGATGAACTGGAGATTTTAATGTGTGGGTTTAGTTATATTTTCCATTTAAATTATCTTAAAAATACTGCATTTCAGTTTGCAACACCCTGTGCTAGTGCAAAACAATGAGAAGATGCCATGGATTCTGAAGAGGTGAAACACTGTTGCCTGAATTAAAAAAAGAAAGCAGTGCAGAAGAAGAGCATCAGCAATGAGCAGCTTGCTGAATGCTTACAGTGCCCTACATTATAGACAGCTGTTTTAAGATGCTTGGTATAGAATAGATTTTAAAAAATAAATTGGTATAAATTATGTTCCAACTACATTAAGGTAAGAAAAAATACTCAAAAACTAAGTAACATGAATAGAAATGCTTCCAGTTTGCTCCCTTACCATGATTTTCATTCCTTTAGTGCTCTTCTTGTTCCAATAACTCAAATTACAAATATGGTCGGTAGAGTTTTCTGGTAAGTAGGGTATATATTGATTTATTTAGCTAGACAGGTTTGTCTAGTAAGCACAGTTAGTTTTAATTTCATTGCCTTTACGCAAATCTATAGGTATTTAGAAATATATTAGTTTCAAGGTTTTCTAACAAATTCAGTCCATGGAGACACCTGAGCATGAGTGTGAGCTGGCAAAATCTGTAAATTTTCAAGTTTGCTATTGCTCTGTCTGTATCTGAGAGCTTAGTGAGATAACAAGGGGAACTGGGCCTGATTCTCCAAAGATTCATTCACTGTCATAAGCAATGGCATATTCTCTGCACCTGTTAAACAAATTTTTTCTTGGGTATCTGCATTCAAAGGACCCTTTCAAAATTTTTTCCACTATTGCACTTAAGATAACCCACCAAGTCTGCCATTTCTTTAGTACTTGGGAGCTAGGACAAGACCAGCATCTGAGGAGGAAGCAAGACAAGAGCACACTTATCTGGCTTGCAGGCTTTTGGACACCTTCAGCTTTATCCTTTGCTATTCCTCTGACAATACCTCAGAAAGATGCATCCCAGCCATCAAATGTGCAAGGAAGCAGCAGCATCTGTCCCATTTCACCTGGCTGTTCACAGCATGAGGGTGCAGAGGATGAGATCCAGGGCTCTCAATGATGCTGCAGGACTTCAGCATTGCATAATCTCTTCATGTCAAGTACTGCTGAGTGAAAGCCTCTCACTCACTGTGGCACAGCTCAGTCACCATGGTTTCTAGGATTTCACCTGCTGTGTGTCATTGTTGTCATGTAGAGAGCAGGGATGGGAACAGACTCAAATCAGTCAGTGCATTCACTCCCTTTCAACACCTCGGCAGTGTCTCTGTGCCCCAGACTGAGACCACAAGATCAGCCCTCACAGACATACCTTGCACACAGAAGGTTCTAGGTGCCCTGGTCTCTGTCCATCTGAACACCCTACTGCCTCATCTGCTCCTTGGGGCTTTCCAATCCGGGGCTCTGCTCCCCTCGTGTAGGGTTTGGCCACTGTCACTTGCCCTTGTGTGTGGTTCTGCTGCCATGCTGCAGCCTCTGTGGGCAGCAGAGACTTGAAGAAACACTGTGTGTCTCCACCTTCTGCTGTGCCAGCTGCGCTGCCCTGCTACCTGATCCCAGCAGCCTTTCTCCCAGGCTGCCATGGCCGCCATCACAGGCACACAGCTCACCTTGCAGCGGGCAGCCAGGTACCTCAGGGTCAGCGGCAGGGCCCACACATCGCTGATCCCCAGAGGGGCTGCTGGCAAGTGCCTGGCACTGCAGAGACAGGCAGTGGGCTCCACCTGAGGAGATGAATGCCTGCATTTTGCTGAGGAGATGGCAGCCAGTGCTATGCTGAGGAGAGGGGTGCCAGTGCCTGCTAAGAGCTGTCAGTGCCTGCTGAGGGGATGAACGCTGCCTCAGTGAGAAAATGGCCGACAGTGCCCTGCTGAGGAGATGACCTCAGGTGCCTAAAAAGGTGACAGGTGCTGACTTCTTGAAGAAATGGATGACAGTGACCCTCTGAGGAGATGGATGGCAATATCTTTTGAAGAAATGGATGCCAGTGCCTGCCAAGAAGATGTGTCCTGCCTTGCTGAGGAAAGAGTATTGATGCCCCACTGTGGAGGCTGTTGATGACAAGGCAGGAGGAAGAGGCCAGGTAACTGCTGGTGGTGTGTGGCAGCCACAGGGGAGATTCAAACAATGAACCTTTTTTTTTTGGGGGGGGGGGGGGTCCCTCAGGAGTAAAGATTATCCATACAAGCCCTCTTTTGTCACAGTGTTGACAAAAATGGGGAGATGCTTGTGTTTGTTGCTTTGCTGTGGACTTAAACAGTCTGTTTTAACACCATTATAAATCCTTCATAAATCAGAGGACAGCTGCATGGACACAAGTATTGAAGCCATCACAGGCTACATAAACAAGAAGGCATAGGAAAGACTGTGGTGACAAGCCATGCCAAATTGAAGCCCTTCTCAGGCAGAGCTGCTTTCTTCAGATTGTGATTTACAGGAAGTGGTTGAACTATTTGAAATAATTAACCTATTTAATGAATTGAGCTTCATATTCACTTTTCAAATTGTCATTGAATATGCTCTGAGTTTTGTAAACATACTTGCAATTATTTCAGAAGTGGCTGATAAGGGTTGTCATCCAATACATTTCTCATTAATTGTTTGCTGCTCTACTTTGAGAGCAGACTGTTTTCCTCTGTGTGCTTTATGGCCCAAGTTTTATGGCATTCCCCCTGAGCTCTCAGGCCTTTTTCAGCTTGTTTCTTGAACAGTTCCCCTACAAGTAGTAATGTGAATATGATATATCCATTTGCACATAGAGTTATAAGCCATTCTTGATCATTTTGAATGTTTTTTTATTGCTGTAAAGCAGCTAGTGTGGGTGTTTGCAGAATAATAGGAGTGAATTTGGATGAAGTGGAACTACCACTGAAAATAAGCCATTTTGTTCAAACTAACATGCTCCCCCTTTCTCTTCCAGGTTTCATTCAAGAAATACAAAGGTATTAGATACTTGGTCCTGCTCTTTCATGAAAAAATTCTTACAGGGTTAAATAGATGCAACTCTACCATTCAACTGTGTGATCAAAATGTTTTTCATTTATGTAAACATAACAACTGGATGAAGAGTCTGTGGTACTCCTTGTGTCAGCACCACAAGGTTCTGGGAATGGCTTGTTGGGAGTGGGGAGAGTATGCTGAGACCCCATTGCTTCTCTTCTGTGGGTGAATAGCATCAATCTGTATGTGACAAGCTGTATGTAAAATTATGGGAGCTTCTTTTTTATTACACTCTGAAAAACTTGGAGAATCTAGAGTCCTTCAGCATCACTCTGTGTGTTTATATACATAAATAAGAAACAGACGATTCCTTTCCGTTAACTGTAGCTCCCAGATTGCAGATATATTTTTCATGCTCATTTCCTTTCCCAAACACTTTTTCTTTCAAAAATTAAAAGCATATGAATTCAAAAGTATCTCAGAGAAGCAGCCAAAACCCAGGTCATAGGCGCACTCAGATGGTGGAGTGTCTATTACCACTGTTGTTTGAGCTGAGGAGATAAAAATCTCTCTGAGTGGCTTTGCATTCTCTGACTTCAAAAAATGCTGTTAAAATGTAGCACAATTCTTAGGATTCCTGAGCAAAGCAAGGTTGTGTCTCCTTCCTCTGCATTAACTATTCTTTTCGAGGTCCTGGAGTCTTTGGGGTGTGGTATCTTATTTTACTGGTTGTTTTATACCAGCGATAAAGGGTTTATGCTGTTGGAGTTAAGAACTTCAAAGCTGCTCCTTTGAGAGGAGGGTCTTTGACTTTACATCTGGGTGGAGGACACACATGGAAAGGGTTACCATGAGAAACAGTCTTTCCCAGCTGCTGCCTTTCTTAAATTACTGTAGCAGCAGCAGCCACAGTTAGTCACTTATGCCAAACATTGTTTTTTGGCATATTTCAGTCTGATCAGTTCCTTGCAGGAATTCCCACAAGGGTAGAATGGATATCCAGCTTGTTGAAGCCTCTTCTAAATAATTTAAGATGGCTCTGGCAATTTCTGTAGCTTAAGTCAAGACTGGAAAATGGAATCTTCCAAAGTCAACAGCCATATTAAGTATGGAAAGGAACTTGTGTAAAAAAATTTTCCCACATTTTGAGTAACTCTGTATTTTCTGAAATGAGATACCTGCCTTTTGCATCAGATGTCTATGTGGCTTAAATAATATGTAGTCATTGTTCTTTTGCCTTCTACTTTTGGCTGGTGTTACTGTTTTGTTAAGAAATAATTTTAGATTTTTCTTGACTTCAGCATTGCTATTTATCATAAATTCACTAGTCAGGTAGGGTGAAGAGAAAAGACCAAGACTAGTTTCTCATTCTAACTGCTCAGCAATGAAAATGTGTCTTAATTATATTCAGCTCTTGCACAAAAGGCTTAGTCACTCAAAGTTAATAAGGCCTAATGGCTTCCCACCCCACAGAGTTCTCAGCCTGCCTTGCAGCTCCTGATCTGAGGCGGCCATGTGATGGACAGAGTGGAGAAAGGCAGCAGCAAGAGCAGCTCTGAAGATAATTGTTAGCAGATCTGAGCGCCTTATATTTCACTTGCTCATTTGAAAACAGCCAGGGCCCCTTTAACAGCATTCAGGAAAATTTCACAGAAGAGAAGACTCCTACTCCAAACAATTATTAGCACCATGCCCTCATTATGTCAGTTGTAATGACAATTACAGGTCTTTTTGATGTGTCGGTGCATGGCCTGGCCTGTCAGATGCACCAGTGGGCAGCTGGATGCCTAGGTGGGCAACAGTCTGCTCCGTGATTCCTGTAGACTTGCTAGTCTAGTTTGGATCAAAAACTGAACAGAGAAAGGCATGTTCCCTCCAATCTTTTAGACTCTTCCTGCCGAGGTACTGTAGTTCTGTCTGTTCACTGAAAGCCCAGCACAGCCCAGAAGAGGCCTGGTCGAGAAACAGACACAGGCAGCCAGTTGCCCATAGCAACTGTAGTCCCACGCTTTTGCTGGTTTGCAGTCCCCTGCAAAGCTGACTGCTGATGGCTCCTGTTTTTCCTGAGAGAAGAGTGTGTGTGTGTGTGTGTGTGTGTGGATAGCTCTTTACTGTGGGATGGAGAGAAATGGGATGGCAGAATTGGCTGTATGGGCAGCAGTGTTTGTTGCCCAAGCTACTGTGCAGACAGGAACAGTGGGAACAGCAAACCCAGATTCTCAGGTCTTTTCTGTCAGCCTTTTCTATTCCATCTTAGGAGCCTAAGAGCACTCCAACTCCCTCTATCTGCTGTCAGGTTGAGAAGGTTCAATTTTACGTTTGTTACAGGGAAACCTTGAATTTAATCTCAAGTACTTGATGAGCTGCATTTCCTTCTAGTCCAGAAAAATGATCTGGAATATAGTTAAATTTAAATGTCTGACTGGTCTCTCACTTTTATTCTTAATCCTGAAAGGAAACAGGAGGAAATTTCTCTCAGAGAGTACAAGTCAGGAATTGCTGCATGAAGTTCTTTTGGCTGAAATTCAGAAGGCCAGACTAGATAATCAGGGTAAGCCTGTTACAAATCTATGAAACATCATGATGGAGGTGCTGGAAATGGGTTAAAGTTAAATCCTATATAAGCCTATTCAGTTTTTATTTTTTGCTAAGTAAACCCTTTCTTGATCATAGTTAATGCCTTCTTAAGAGATCAAAAGAATTATTTTAAAGGACACTGCTTACTCACAAAATTCATTATGGTAATGCTCCATCATACTTTGCCAAGCTGCTGTCTCTTTGATCTGCTGCTGTGGCCTTTTGTCTGTTCCTGCAGTTAATCTACATTTTGTTGATGTCAGGTTTTTTTCATGTTTTATATTTTTGTTTTATTCAATATTACAGTAACCCTATGGAATCCCACCATCTAGTTTTGAAGCTGAAGATTTGAAAAATTCCTCCCTTATGAAAAAAGTAAGGAGCCCTTGATTGATTATTGATATGAACATTTGCTATTTTTAAATTCAGTTGTGTAACTTAGTAAACAGAGTTTCCAGTAATACAGGCTCCTGATCTCATAACTGGGATTTATTTGTAAATTTTAATGGATTTGGCTTATTTTGATAGGGAATCTTGTTATAATTTGTTCTTGTCAAACAGTTTGGGTCGTGTTATATGACACACTCCATGTGAGTAAAATTTGACAAAAGGCTTTTTCTTCTGTATCTTCCCATTACAGCTTTTCATTGTCACATCACTTTTGTTCTAATTTATTTTTAGTGGATGTTAGTACTTATGAATGGCAGTAAGATTGACAGCCCTAGACACTCCTGCTTACTATGAGAAGAGGACCTTGATGGCATAGACATTATTCAACAGAAAGCTTGAAATATGATGCAAAAAATCAATAACATACTGTAATTCCAGGCTATGAAGTATACCCAAAGGACAGCTTAGGTCACGGAGGTGTGAGGAGAGTCCTGTAACTTTAAAGAAAGAAGTGACTCTGAATAAACTGATGAGGTAAAATTTTAGTGAAATACATGTGACTGTAGAGTTAGAACTCTCCCACAGTCTGTTTAGAGGTGGACTAACAGCTCGTGCAAACAGCTTTTTCCTCAATACATAGATACTGCATACATGCTGCCGAGGGGGATCTTGGAGAAGTCAGTCAATGAAGCAGTAATAACAGGGGAATTGACACAAAACATACATGAACTATCTTGGGTATGACAAAAGCACAGGGATTTAGAGCACAGGTTGTAAAGCAGTTGTTCCAAGAGGATGGGTGACTCTAATTAACATGAAAGATTCCTGTGGGAGTCTGTTTGAGAAGGACATTGATAAGTCATTAAAAAATCCTACAATCACTTGGAGTTCAGTCCATAGACTAGAAGAAGAGAATTTCCTGAAGTAGACAATACCAGTGAAGAAAAGGCCTTTCACATAACAAAGGATCTAGCTAAAGAGTCAAAATGACATGGAGGAGTAAAATGTGTGAAAGCAGATGAAAGTGTGTTGGCAAACACAGAACAGAAAGAGCACTTGTGACTTTGCTTTTCCCTGTCACTGCAATTCCTTCCTGGGATGTGTGACCAAAAACGAATAGAGTTCACGCTGGAGTATACCGTTAATTTATAGAGTGGCGTTACAAAAATATAATTGTTTCTCTGCCCTCTTTCTCATTCATCATTAATGTTCCTTTCCTTTCCCTTTTTTTTTTCTTTTTAAAGAAATGACCAGATGTTTTCCACTGAGGATGTCTCAAACATACTTAGAGGCTTGGGGTGGGGTTATTTTCCATTTTGGGTGGGGGGCACGTTTAGGTTTTTTTTCTAGGGTATTAAGAACAGATTTAGAGCCCAGCCATCTTGTTCAACCTGCCAATGTCCTCATGTAACAGAATGAAAGTGTCTGTGAGGTTCAAATCCTTTCTTCCCATTTCAAGCTAGCTCATTTGAACACAGTGTTAGTGTTGGCTGACTGGAGTGCAGGGATATAGTAGTTTGACTTTCTCATTTCAGATCTTGTACGGGGAGTTACTCCAACCTAAACACATTCATAAGTCTTACAAGTTCTTTCATTGTGGGAAGGAATCTGGATATTCTGGAAAGTAACAGCCAAAAGAACATGGGAAATAAGGAGTCTTCCTAGCAACTCAGCATCCCACCAGGATAAGCTAATATTTTGGAATTACTTCAGTGTTCTGGTAGACCAGGTTTAATTATAGATCAGACTGCCTTTTGCTGGTTTTGGAGGCATATAGATCTTTAGAAGTCTATGGACAGTTTCAGCTACAAAGAACTTTAGCACTAGTTTGAATTTTCATAATAAAATATAGGAATTTCATGAAGCCCCTCCCTTATTTTTACTCTTTTTTTTCCCTTATGAAGTTTCAGCTGAGTTTAATGCCTGAGGGGCTCATAGCACAATTAGAGAATAGACTGTGCCACAGTTACTCTGTTTGGAGACATCATCCTTGACAACATTAGCCAGTAACACTTTTCAGCCAAAACTTTGCTGGCCAATGGAACTTATTTCACAAGTGTGATCCACAGAAAGTTAATTTCTTATTAAAATACACCATGTGTAATAAATAATGGTATTCCAATGTGTAGTAAAGATATAATCTTATATGAAGCAATAGACCAGGCTCTTTCAAGTTTGATAAGACAGTGTATTTTTTAAAGATCTGTAATCTTGAGAGGAGGAGCAACTAAATAGCATTTAAATGTGTTCTGCTCTTTTGTATGCTAATAATATCAAATATTACTACTCTGGGAACACAACTTTACATACCTACATCACTGTCACAATCCTGTGAGTACATTTAAGGATGTGGTATTCACATTGTCCAGATTTCTGGAGCACATACCTCTGCAATGCTACATACATGATACTGTTTCATAAAACACACTGTAAATTTTTTCCTTGTTCTCAGCAGACCTGCTTATATCTGCAGGCTGTGAACAAGGATTCTGGGAAAGAAAAACAACACAAAAGCCTTTTAGCAGCATTAAAACAGATTTGGAAGAGTTTTAGGGGCAGAAAAACCACAAAGAAAATGCTGTGCTACTGCAATGGGCATCTTCTGTCTAAAACAAGAAGTAAACATGTATTTTAGGTCTCCACTCCGAAAGGTCTGGCATGTGCCCAGTCTTTCCCTTTGATTTGTTTTACATCTTTAGAAGTGCTTAGCCACTACACTCAGTGATTTAATGAGCTTTGAGACTGTCTGAAACTGAGCTTTCACATCGGTGGTACATCCTTTTCTATCTGCACCCACATTGTCACACAAGTTGGCTGGCAACTTGTCACTAGCTCTTCGTGGAAGATATTTTCCTGTGTAATCTACTGGTGAAGCTGCTCTTGTGAGTGCTGCCTATCACATTTCACTCAAAATGAAGGGGGTTAGTGAAAGCCTAACATTTAAGCTGTGTCAACTCACCTGGTGATTGTGGCCATAAAGAGCATACTTATCCGACAGCTCAGTTGGTCTCCCTGAGCTGGAGAAGGGAGTACTGCTCCAGAAGCACAGGTGGCGAAGGTAAACCATGGCTTCCTCAGCTGCCATCCCAAGAGCACCTTTTTGTTTGGGACTTATCCTTCACATGCCTGTGCAGGTCAAATAAGAAAGCTTGGAATAGGACAGGAAGGCATAAAAAGAGGTGCTATATTCTCCCATAGACTGCATGTCTACAGTAGAGTCTCAGGGCTCATACATTATTTCCTGTCTGAAGCAGAAGCTGTAATTCTGAGTCTTTCCAAGCAATGAGGTGAGTTCCTGCTGCATTTGGCTCCTTGGCAACCCTCTGGTTGCAGCGTGCTAGAGGCAGTTCTAACGCTACAGCTCTCTATCATTTTATTCAAGGAGCAGGGGCTGGAAAACCGGCAGCTTTAGTATGCATGTCACTGTCTCTAGAATTGGGCACTGACCCTCTTTATTGTTACCAGTAAAATTAAACTGATGCGACAGTCTTCCATGGCAGGTTTCCAGCTCTGTTCTTCTTGAGGCAGGGGGGGATTACCCTGTCCTTAGAGAGAAAAAAGACTGGATACTTTCCAGGAGGGAAGGAAAATCCTCCTGTGACCACTGTGAAACTGTAGATGAACCTACCTGCTTCTGAAAGAAGAAACTTACTGTAAATACAGTCAGGCAGAGCTCAGAGAAATAAATCATAGATTATAATGGGGACATCCCCTTTCCTCTCCTCAACAAAGATAGCAACTATGTTTAACCATAAAAGGCACTTATGCTTCTCTCCTGCATACTAAATAGGAGCTGCCTGACTCACGTGTTTCTTAGAATCAGAAGACTGATACATCCCTGCTCTTTGAATTCTGATTTCTTACCAAGCAATACAGTGTAGTAGCAAATGTGCCAAGAAAGATGCATCCAGGTGGAAAGGGGAGACAGAGGCACTTATGTAGCTCTGGGTCACAATATCACTTGGGAAAAATATTGTGCCATCAAGGTTTATCTGCATTTGTGAATAACAGAGTTGGCAGCATGTCCCTGTTTTCTGGTGTGATTGTTGGTTTTTAAAGTAGTGGCAGGTTTGTAAAGACAGTCATCAAGTCAGGGAGTTTTTTGTTCTTCTTGCAAGCTACTGCACTTAGGTACTTAGAGACAGCTGCTTTGAGCTTGCTAGGGGTAGGAATGTGTTCTCTTTAGTATATCCACAGGAAGGTATTACCATGAAAGCCTTATCAGAAGTCCCATTCTTGACTTTATTCCAGATTTCAGTGGGACATCAATCAAAGACCCATTTTGTCCTATCTCTGGCTCTTTCCTATGACCTCATGGAAGGCTAAAGTCCACCATTAAAGGCATTGAATATCTTGCATTAATCTCCATGTGCAAAGCATTTCAGTTCTCTTTAATGATCTGTTCCCTCATATATGGGCTCACATGAGAGTATCCAATCTGTGGCTGGGACAGTGGGCTGTGCTCAGTTACACTCCAAGAGAGATGCTGGGTGCAAAAGAACAGGTAGGTAGTGGAGTTCATAGCGGGGCTGACCCCGGCAGGTAATCTCATTATTTTTAGTGGGTCAGGGAATAGTTCAATCCAGAGAGGAACATAGAGCCCTAGGCAGAGACAAGCTCTGGTTTGGTTGTGTAGAGTGACTCAGACACTTGCAGCAGGTGGGAGTTGCCTAGGTGAAGCACACAGGTGCTGAGAAGCTCTGCTCTTGATTTCAATCCTGATGCAGCAGGGCTTTTGCTGACCTAGGTTGCCACAGCCCCTTGCTGGGACAACCTGAATTCCCAGTAGGTCTACTCTAAGTCAAGGAGCAGCTAGAAACTTGCATACCAGCCAACCTCTTTCCAGAAACACTGGCCAGGAAAGCCTTTGAGCTTTTGGGTAAAGGAAACAAGCCAAAATCAGGAGGAATACAAGGCAGTAGTAGGCTTTTGTTCATATTCTGTTCTGTTTAATTCCAGAACAAGCATTGTGAATTGTGAATGGGAAACTGAACACAGAGCTGAGGTCATACAGAAACATACATATATATTTCCTGACCCTCTTTTTCCCTTCTGCCTATGCAGTGAACACTTTTTCAGGTGTGGAGTGCTTGGTTTCAACATCAGCATTTTTCCCCAAAGCTGATTTTTGGTCATATCTGGCCTTGATCTCTCATTTAGTATCTCCTAAAAAACAGAATGGAAGCTTCTTAAGGAGCCCTTTCTGAATAATGTTAAGTGGCAATTTAAGCAGCAGAGACAAGATAGGGAAGGGGGAAAAAAGGCATTTTCTTTCAGTGTTAAGTGTTGCTTCTATATTTTTATGGCTTCTGAAGTCAGGCAGACACTGTTGCTTGGTCCCAGCTGGACAGTAATTCCTGCTGGGAATGCCTCATGGCAGCTTTCAAAGTGCTCTGAAGCTGAATTTGTAATTGTGACTCAGAGCAGATCAATTCCCTTTCCTTTCTGCAGTGAAATTTAGGTTCTGCTTCAGACATGAAGATGTCCCAATGTACTAGCAGCTTTAAAAACCTGCCAGGCACCACAAAAACACAGGATAGTATCTGGGGCTTGGGTAGATATCTTAAAATAAAAGAAGTGCAAATAATAGAGCTTCAAATAGCTGAAACTCTCTTCATCTGATTGGTCTTATAGCAATGGCCAAGAGGGCTTTCTTGTTCTTGGGGTTATTAAGTCAAGGTTAAGAATGATTTCAAAATATTTCTCTTTTATTTTTAATTGTGGCCTGCTGCATTTTTGGAACATCCTCTTCCTCTACTACTTGTACTTGCCTAGCCATATAGCCTTAGAATATTCAGGAGTGATCATCTGTAGCCTCTCAGATAGTGGTATCCTGTAAGAGTAAGTCTGTCATGCGGCTTACCTGTCAAAAATAAAACAGGATGATTTGTCTCTTATTAAATTCAGGGTCAACTAATAAATACAGAATGATAGGTCTAAGCTGTAGGTCTACCCAGGACTCTGGAGTGCATTGTCCAAGTACTTAAAAGCTAAACTGAGCAGAATGAAAGTGCTGCTCTATCTCTGCATCATTACTGGACACCCTCTCCTAGTACTTCATGTCACACTGGTCCTTCCTCTTCTTTTCAAAGGCCTTTGAGCAACAGAGAAGTTAGGAAGTAATACTGCCACTTAAAGCATTCTGTTTGGAATCCAAACAGGATTGGACAGGAGCAATTCAAAGATGGCATTTCAGTCTATATGCAGACTCAAGCAGACCTTTTAAGCAGTGATACTTAGGC